CGATCCTTGAGTATTTGTTTATCCGGGCCATCAGCTCGCCNAACTCTTTTGGACGACCCCCCTAGAGAGGGTAGCAATCCCTTTCGGGGAGTATCCTCCCGCTCCCTCTATTTTCTCTTAGATTGGAGGGTTCGGCCTTTGCTGCTTCTCATCTCGTCCTCGATCCTTGAGTATTTGTTTATTCGGGCCATCAGCTCGCCTATATCCGAGGAAGTCTTCTTAGTCAGGGATCGGTACAGGTCCGTGTCCCTCGCCAAGCCGAGCCTAAAAGAAGCCGCTGCTATGACTTCCGAGCAGCCTTCTACCTCATTAACCTCTTCCCAGTATCGGATGGCATACTTGCGAAAGGTCTCGGATTCCCTATGTCTGAGCGTTAGCAATGATCCAACGTCTTTGGGCCGCTTACTCCCCGTAATGAATCGAGCCAGGAACTGCCTCGTCAATTCTATCCACGATCTAATACTGCTGGGGGGAAGCGCCTCGAACCACTTCATCGCAGAGTCCCCCAAGCTCATAGGAAACACTCGGCAGAGGAACCGTTGGTCCGAATGATAGAGGGACATCATCTGCTTGTATTGCCTGAGATGGGCTTCGGGATCGGACCGCCCGTCATAAGTTTTGAACCTCGGCATGACAAACTTTCTTGAAACCTCCATCTCTCTGATCTCCCTGGTAAAGGGTGTTTGTATGACCTCGTCTTCGACCTCATCCTGGACAGCCTTACTCTTTCTCCTGGATTCCAACCGGGCTCTGAGATCAATTTCCTCCCTGACGGGATGTCTTCTGAAGTCTTTGAGTTCATCAATAGGCCCCCCATTTCCTGGGCGCCGTGTGGATAGGGTAGAATCCTCCTCGGACTCATCTCCCTTCCTCCGTCTAGACAATCCTCGCCGGAGGTCATCCAGGGCTAATGGTCTTGCCTTCCTTGAATGGTCGTTAGGAGGGTGCTCGTTGGCTCTCGGTCGCTTTGGGGCCTTGGAGCTTTCTGCCTTGTTGTTTAAATGATTCCTTAGATCCTTCGTTTCCGCCTCCCGGGCGGGGAACCCACGAGAAAGGAATGAGTCCCTCGACCCTTCGCCGGAGGCGGCAAATTCGTTGAGCCGACTTAGGACGTTTATATTGTCCTTTTCCAGCTGTCGTAATCTATCGCCAAACTTTTCTTCGATCATCTCCGCCAGCTGACGAGCCAGGGGGGCTGATCCTCCTGACCTGATTCCCATACTGGTTTGAGGGGTAACCCCTCTTGACTGAGTAGAGGCATTTTTATTCCCATCAGTGTGATCCCTCCCTCCATGGTGACAGAGAGCTTGTAATTCGAGACTTCTTTGGTGGGGACATTTCCCTTTTTGTCGAGTGTTCACCATGGTCACTGTTCTTTATAGAGAAAAAACTAGGAAAACTAGTCGTTTNCTGCTGGGGGGAAGCGCCTCGAACCACTTCATCGCAGAGTCCCCCAAGCTCATAGGAAACACTCGGCAGAGGAACCGTTGGTCCGAATGATAGAGGGACATCATCTGCTTGTATTGCCTAAGATGGGATTCGGGATCGGACCGCCCGTCATAAGTTTTGAACCTCGGCATGACAAACTTTCTTGAAACCTCCATCTCTCTGATCTCCCTGGTAAAGGGTGTTTGTATGACCTCGTCTTCGACCTCATCCTGGACAGCCTTACTCTTTCTTCTAGATTCCAACTGGGCTCTGAGATCAATTTTCTCCCTGACGGGATGTCTTCTGAAGTCTTTGAGTTCATCAATAGGCCCCCCCATTTCCTGGGCGCCGAGTGGATAGGGTAGAATCCTCCTCGGACTCATCTCCCTTCCTCCGTCTAGACAATCCTCGCCGAAGGTCGTCCAGGGCTAATGGTCTTGCCTTTCTTGAATGGTCGTTAGGAGGGTGCTCGTTGGCTCTCGGTCGCTTTGGGGCCTTAGAGCTTTCTGCCTTGTTGTTTAAATGATTCCTTAGATCCTTCGTTTCCGCATCCCGGGCGGGGAACCCACGAGAAAGGAATGAGTCCCTCGACCCTTCGCCGGAGGCGGCAAATTCGTTGAGCCGGCNTGCCTCTTGGGCGGGGAACCCACGAGAAAGTAATGAGTACCTCGACCCTTCGTCGGAGGTGGGCAAATTCGTTGAGCCGGCTTAGGACGTTTATATTGTCCTTTTCCAGTTGTCGTAATTTATCGCCAAACTTTTCTTCGATCACCTCCGCCAGCTGACGAGCCAAGGGGGCTGATCCCCCTGACCTGATTCCCATACTGGTTTGAGGGGTAACCCCTCTTGACCGAGTAGAGGCACTTTTATTCANGTGGATCAAAGGAACGATCCAGTAAGACTGAAGAAAGGTTCCTGGAACAAAGAAGAACAAGTTAGAAGGGCGCCGGAATGTTTTCCGGCGTATCTCCTCCGACGATCACGTCAGTTTTTGAGAGAGAGGAAGAAGAAAACACTGAGTATCATTTGTAGCAAAAGTTTTACCTCCTTTCCCCTTGCCTTTAGTGAGGAGTATTTATACCTCAAATACTCATGATTGCTGTCAATGTAGTCAGTAGGTGATCATTAGATACAGGCAACGTCCGCACTGATTCCTATGAGGAATGTCTTTTCTTTTAACTGCTCGGGACCCCGAGCAATCAAGACTGTGTCATCAGCCTGCCGACGATTCAATGAGCTCCTCTCGGAGAGGATGCAATAAATGCCCAGTCTTAGAGACATTTATTGTCTTTCACTTCCGAGCCATACCGCATTGAATGCAGTCTCATCAAGAGAATGGTGTAATTAAATGCTTGTTTTCCCAAGTCGCGTGTCAGCAAGGTCATGCGGTCTTTCTATCTCTGATGTGACACAATATGCCACACGTCCATTCCCCATTGGTTGTGGCCCCTGCCTTCCTGTGCCTTCTGACACCAATTGTGTAAGACGAGGTCATAATAGCTAACCTAGCCTAGCTTAGGCTAGTGACCGTGCATCAATAGCCTCTACTGGAGCAGAAAACGGCATCCTAGATAAGGGGGGTACATCTCATTACCGAGGAATAGGTACATCTCGGAGCCGAGGAATAGGTACATCTTGAAGCCGAGAGGGGGAGGCCTAGCGACCGATGTACCATATCAAACCGAGGGTACGTGTTGGTACATAAAAACGTACTGGATGCCACTCGATCCCCATGATCAGTACCTCGGGGGAGAGGGGACTTGTGACCCGATGGGTACGTGATCTCGGTAACAAGGATCAATGACACCGAAGACACATATTTTCATCTCGGAGTATTTTGGAAATGTCTCATCATACATAATGATAAAAATATATCAAAATTATCATGTGATATTATTATTAAACAACAAATAAATAAAATAAATTACACTAATTCATGTTTAGTAGTTATTAGATTACATGGACAAGATAATTATAACATTCTATAGGACTCATTCACTTATTTTGCTGATTTATCATGAGATAGTAAAACTACATGACGGCGTTGGCATGGTATCTCTTATGACAGAAAAATGTATATAAGTGTCAAAATATAATACGACACGAAATTATAGAGTTTGTCATCCTTAAGCCATCCGTTTTGTAAACGAATAGACTTGACATAATACGATTAATAAATAAATTGGGTATTAATAAATAAATTGGGTATGAATAAAATTCATCAAAATAAATACACAACACAATTTGTTTATATATTAGTTATACATGATACTGATCTGATATAATATAATTTGTTAAATATGAATTAATAAATAAATCTATGAGCAAAACTTTTTAGACACGAATCTGTTGAGATGTGATATGAACTTACTACTCATTTGCGATTAACATGCCTACTGGGCCGCGCAACTCCTCATAAGTCTCAAGTTAAAATCATGGACTGAATATTTTGAATATTGGGTAAATTGTAAGGCTGTATATTAAATTAGATTTATTTGGTAAAAAATATACATTAAAAAATATAGAGTTATTAAGTATTTAATTTTGATACTTATTTGTATTCAAGTATATAATTTGAATTTATTTATTTTTATTGTAACATTTTTATCTTCTATTAATCCATGTGTATTTAATGCAGCACTTTTCTTTGAAAAGTGGTGTATTAAACATCTTCTAATTTTATGGAAGAACTTTAATATATATATACTTATGTATGTATATACTTGTTGTTAAATCTCTTATCTAAATTTTAAATTATCTTTTAATGCATCTTAATTCATGCATTTTTTTTTAGAAAGTGGTTTTATTTTCAAATTTTTAATATCCGAATAGTGTAACAGTATAATAATAATAGTGTAACAAGCTATTTATACAAAATATTATACTATTACATTTTGTCAGACATATAATTTCATTCAAAATAGTCTATTTTCATTTTGAATTTGTTATCATATACACAAAACTATTGAACACTGTTTTTGTTACAGTGTATTTGTTACACTGTCTTTGTTACAGTATATTTGTTACACTGTTATTATTGCACTGTTATTGTTATATTATTACATTATTCGGATATTAAATTAATTTAAAAATAAAACTATTTTCAAAAAAAAAAAAACACTTGAATCAAAGTACACTAAATATAATTTGAAAACAAAATCACTTTTCAAAAAAAAAAAAAATGCATAAATCAAGATGAATTAAAGATAATTCAAAATTTAAATAAGAGATTTAACAATACATGTATTAACAAATACACATGAATAAAAGGTGCATTAAATATATATTTATATGTATTAACAAACACACATGAATCAATGTGTATTAAAGATAAGAGATTTTAAATTAAATGACCTAAAATAAGTATTTATGTCTTTTTAACTTTCATTTTGTTCTATATATTTTTTGTCAAATAAGTCTTTTGTTATCGAGAAATTGGCCCAATTTTCAGATTGGACTAGGGTAGGTTAGCCTATTGCATTAACGACCCGATTGGCATGTGGAACGGGACGGTGACAATTTCCGCCCCGGCCCGTTTCCATAACAATCGAAATATGCACCGTTTCACCTTGGAAACAAAAAGCAGAGTTTCGTTCTTTGTTAACGAAACTTTGAAAATCTAGGGTTTCGATCCTACGAAATTTGAAAATCTAGGGTTTCGTTCTTTAGTGATCGTGAAAGGGACTGTGTGTAGTTTGATAAGACTCGTTCTTTTTTTTGGTTCAATATCTTGTATCTTGTATTTTTGTTGTTGATTTTGATGATACGTGAGAATCGACTAGTCTTGTTAGATTGAACAGTTGAATTTTGTGAGAAGAGAAAATGGTGTTGGTGTTGGCAATTGGTGATCTTCACATCCCACACCGGGCTCCCGATTTGCCTCCGAAATTCAAATCCATGCTTGTTCCCGGAAAGATTCAGCATATTATTTGCACCGGCAATCTCTGTATCAAAGTAACTATCTCTTCCCCTTTGAATTTTTCACTCCCCCGACCCCCAAACAAGATCCTGGGTTATTTTCTGTTTTGCTTAAAGTTGACTTTGTTTATATTCTGCTTTGAATTACGTTAATCTTTCTTCCTTCATGTGGTGAAGTAAAGTTGAATCTTAGTCACTGAATTATATAATGTAGCACTATTTCATTCGTGCACTATTGTTTGACTCCGGTGTGACCTCTCCAATGCGCAAATTACAAAATCGCGGTGAATTGAAGGAGAGTTCTGACTTCTGATTTTGTTGATGTTGAAAAAAAAAAAAGAACAAAGCATCTTGGATGGTTGAGATCCAATGCTTGTTGCAGTTTCCTGTATCATGAACTAGCTTTGAAAGTGTTTTTTAATGCTTTGGCTTTCTCTAGTTGAAGGATCAGACCCACTGCTCTAGTATATAGCAATGCCATAACCTGTTAGTCAATCAAATCTGATAATTGGTGGAAATTATCTTACAAATTTTGAAGTGCCACCCTTCCAACAGTGGTATGTTTGATTCTGCATCTTTGTGTCACAATATGACTATTTTGCAGAATTATATTGAAACTGTAAATACTGTAACATTGAAGGAATGAGGTACTCTTGAGCATTATATGGTTTTTGGGAACCAGACTTATTTGGCAAGGTTCAGTATCCTCCTTTAAGAACAATAACTGTTTGAAGGAAAGCTTTTATGATGTTACCCCTTTGGAGAATCATCTGCCTTGCTTTCTCTATTTTCAAGCTAATGACATCCAATTGCTACAGTCATCTTGCTTTGCTGCAAACCAACAAGGTTAAGAGCCCTTAGTAGTGCATAATTTGGAAGTGAGACTTTTGTCAGGCCATTGTTGGGTTACTATCTTTGTGAAAAAAAACTATTTTTGTGATTGTAATTCACTTGTCACTTAGATGCATTAGGTTGTTGTTTCTGCAGTCAGTCTGAGCGGGCATGCAATTGTATGACCCATATAGACGGGGAGAAATTCCTCTGAATTTTCTTTGCATATCGTCTTCTCATTTTGTGTGAAGCCTTATACACAACTCTTGTCTAAGTTTTTGTTATGGTTTTTCTTAATAAATAGGAAGTTCATGATTACTTGAAAAGCCTGTGCCCTAGCTTACATGTCACTCGAGGTGAATACGATGAAGATGCCCGTTATCCAGAGACCAAAACACTCACGATTGGACAATTCAAACTTGGCTTATGCCATGGTCATCAGGTCAAATCCCATCGCTATCTTTATTGATTTGCAATGGTCACTGGTTTAGATTAATTTCTTTCTACCTGTATAAGTATTGTGGTTATTGTTTTAAATATCTATATGGCCCTAGATACGTGGAAGAGTGTAAGTCCCATTTGGGAATTCCAGTCGGTACATAACATTATTTGGTGGCATTGCTTTTTGCTACTGATTATTCTTGGGTAGTTTAATATTGTTCATCAATTACATGGCATTCTGATCATTCTCACTTTTTATGAAATTATGATATTTATATGTGCCTATAAGGTAAATGAATATCTTTTAACTAATACAGAGAGTTTTCTTTCGATTGGTGTTAATAATTGCTAGTCCTCTCTTGGGGATAGCTGATGCTTATCACTCCTAAGAAATATAAGACCGTTGGAAGAAGTAGACTTGAGAAGACTTAACTCTTTTTGTATCATTTGTACAAAGAGCCTACCAGATTCAAAAGTATCAGGCAATACATATATGATTCGGCTAAGTCGTATCCCACTCAGCTCCTTTCGATATTATTCCACGTCACCAGTAAACCCCAAGTCTCAGGCAAGACGTCTTCGAGTCAACACTGAGTCACTTAGTTATCTTCACTGCATCGGCCAATGCCATTACACCTGGTAGAGAGACCCAATCTTGAGTGAAATAAATACCGCGACTTTGATCTTTTTCAATAACATCATCACGCAATAAATCAACAAATCCCGTTCCGCGACACCACTATCAATGCGCCATGATGCCTACTTCTCGATTTGGAACCCTTGTTCTCATGCTCCAAGCAATGACCACCATATACCATAGAATATAAAGAGACCAATAATCATGTCAAAGGCGAGGGACAGAAAGATAGGAAAAGAGGAATGATGGGGCTCTACATACCTTATATGATTGCCATACTTTTGGTTCTTGTTGACTAACTACACCTGCACTGACTTTGCGTGAAGTTATTCTTTGGATATTTTGTTGTTAATTTTAACAAACTACTATTGCCAATATTGAGGTCACAGGCTTGATCACCCTCTTCCATATATTTAAATTTCCAAATGTCTTGCAGTCATGATGTTGACCAGACTAATCCAACATTAGATTTGTTTTCTTTAAATTTTTGTTTTCAACTTTTGTCTTGTAGAACTAAAGGAGATTTACTTCTTTTGGTTTAACACAGTATGCAATCTTAGAAAAAGAAATAATAGTTGTGGAATAAGGCCTGCACATTGTAAACAGTTAGCCAATCTCGTGTGAAACAGACTTGGCTAATACACAAGAATTCTTTTTTACCCCTTCTTTAAGGCCATTACAGTATTAAAGCCAGGAATTAATAATTGATCTTTTGTGTTGCAAGCTTTGTTTTCTTTCAAACTTTGTCCTAACTTTTCTAAACGTTCTCTGTTTTTCCTGATAGTGAATGGATTTTACATCCTTGTTAACTCTGTATGTTCTAACCTGAGCAACTCTTATTATATCTTCTTATGTCTTGATATTCCGAAGGTTGTTCCTTGGGGAGACCTGGACTCCCTAGCCATGCTACAGAGGCAGTTAGATGTGGACATCCTTGTTAGCGGACACACCCATCAGTTTAAGGCCTACAAGCATGAGGCTGGTGTTGTCATAAACCCTGGGTCTGCCACTGGTGCCTACAGTAGCATCACTTATGATGTGAACCCAAGTTTTGTGCTCATGGACATTGATGGTTTGCGTGTTGTTGTCTATGTCTATGAACTCATTGATGGAGAAGTGAAGGTTGACAAGATAGATTTTAAGAAGACGGCCACAGCCACTACCCATTCTGCAAACTGACCTGTGCTGCTGGTGGTAACTTTAGGCTCTTGTTTTCATTTCTTTTTTCCAGTTTTTTTCTTCTTTGGATCTTTCTATTGGTGGTGTTTCTCGACCTATTTATCAATTTTTATTTTGTTATACATATGGATGACGAAATTATATTCCATAATAAATTTAAGTTTTTGATATTTTTGTTTTAAATAGTGACCCAACGTCAACCTCAAATGTTGGAGAGCCAGTATAAGAACTTTTATCCAGTTTTTTGCACATTAATCGGCTAGAATTTTTTGGTCCTATTCTCCAGCTAAATTCCAATTGTGGTTTCCTTCATGCCAAGATAAGTTGCACAAGTAAGCAACAATGTGCGCCGAGTATACCACTAAGGATTGCTACTCATTTCAATTTATGTCATCCAACTGTTTTCTCAATTCAAATTGGAGACTACAATATAAGCCCGACACCAATTATTGTTCGGGTGCAAATTATTGTTGCTTTGTTTGTGGTCTCCTTTGAGATTCATTCCAGATACTGTTACTTGCCCATAGACATTATTGATCCTAAGCTCCTATTGAGCCTTGATCGAAAACTCATACAGCATTACATGTTTGTAAGTCTTTCCAGGAGCAACAATCTGTGACGGGAAATTGGGGTGATTCACAGAGTCGGGGAACCCTTGAGTTTCCAAGCACAACCCAGCATGAGCTTGGTAAACGTAGCCACCTTTGCCCTTCAGATCTTTTATGTAGTTGCCGGTATAAAATTGCACACCAGGCTTGTTTGCCGAAAGTTTCATCACTCTTCCAGACTTCTTATCATGCACCACAGCCACCGGCTTCATCTTGTTGCTTTTGTCACCATCAAGGACATAGTTAATATCATAACCGTTAGGAAGTTCATTGAGCTTGCTCTTAATAGTGTGTGGTTTGAGGAAATCATAGGGTGTGTCCTTCACGGTTGCAATTTTTCCGGTGGGGATGAGACTCTTGTCGACAGGGGTAATGTGGGATGCAAATATCTGAATCTCCTCGGACAGGATATCGCCACTGTCGTGGCCTCCGAGGTTCCAGTAGGAGTGCTGGGCTAGACTCACTGGGGTGGCCTTGTTTAGAGCTTTGGCTTCCATTACTACCTTCAGATCGTAAAATCCACTGAGGATATAGGTCACAGTGACAAGCAGATCACCTGGAAATCCTGTATTCAATACAAGACATTTGAGATTTTAGAATCCCTTGTGTGATTATGAAGTAAAAATGTCATACATCGTTATATCCGCATAGTGTCGTGCCTTTTTCTTGATGATCATCAAGTAGTTTATATCTCTCTATACAAATTTTTGTCATAGTATTATGCCATTCATTTATCCGAATTCATGTGCATATTCGAAACTAAGCCTTAAATATTTTCCTTTTCTTTTTGTGACGGAAAATCTTTTCAACCGTGTGTATTTTGACCCATGGTTATAATGCAAATTTCAAATCCACGCAATTATTTGCTAACTATTTGCATCGGTTTAGCCAGAGGAACTCGAATTTACGACATTCAAGTTGACAATTAGTCCCTTGTTTGACTACTAAATCAAACATCGGAATGGACAAATAAAGATGACAAAGAAAAATAAAGACAGTTACCTTCTTCACCATCAGTGCTGTGATAGCTGAAGGTAATACTAGGAGATTGCCCATCTTTCTCAATATTTTTCACCTTCCAAACAACATCGCTGAATCCTTTCTTCCCACCTAGTATTCAATATAACAACATCGATGGTCAAATAAACGAAGGAAACAAATGAAAATTATTTATAAACAACGTTAAGAGGAACACTATTTTTTGTACCATGAAGCATGTTCTTCCCCTCATTAGCATCCAGCTTGTAATGGATTCCATTTAAAGTAAATTGGGCAGCCCCGATCCGGTTAGCGACCCGTCCAACAATAGCACCAAAGTAAGTTGAATCATTCTGCAGCAATTGAAGTCATGAATATGAAAGAGGAGTCTTGTTCATAAACTAGTTTAAAATGAGCTTTGAAATTTCGCTCAATTTCGAGTCCAATGTATCGATAATGACTGAGCAAACTTAAATGAATATTAATCAATTCAAGCCGATCTAGAATTGTTTATGAACTAACTCGATTTATTTTCAAGACTAAATTAACTAATCTCCCGTTAGGATAGGAATTTTTTTATTGTTTAAAAGGATGGTTAGGGTGACCAGACATAACAATCCTCCAAAAACGTTATCTTGAGGTTCATACCCACCATAGACTAGGATGGTTGAGCCTGTCATCATTGACCACCGAGGTAAGCTGGATATTCAGCCGAACTACTGCTACAAGTGGATTCAAACTCATTACCACTAGAGGAGGCCGGAATTTTCACCCTCAAGTGAAGCCAACTAGACTACCACCTCGGTGGTCATTGGAATAGGATTATTTTTCTCCACACACTCATTGAAGAGGATGTTGATATTGAACAAAGCCGACCTTATCCACCCAAAACAAAATCACATGTTAATGTCAATAATGCATTTCAATATAAGGGAAGTTGGACCTTTCCAAGTCAATTTAGAAGACTTCAAGAGTCATACGCAAATGATAAAGACCAGATCAGAGAAAAACCACTCTAGGCTTCCACCTCTTCAGCTTATTTAAAATCATTATCTTTTCTCTTATGTAAACCAAACATTGGGATAAAATATTGGGTAAGAAGTTCAAGGCAAGTGTGGAAGGAATCCTGTCCTGTTTCCCCTTGTTTTCTTCTCTTTTGCAGAGTGTGTGTGTGTGTGTGAGAGAGAGAGAGAGAGAGAGAGAGAGAGAGTCATTGCTTTCAACAAATAAACAAGAAAATGTTGTATAAACAGAGGAATCTCACCATGTAGGTCTTAACTGAATCATACCCAAGAACAACATCACCNAGAGAGAGAGAGAGAGAGAGAGAGAGAG